AGTGTAGTTTGGAGAGCTGGTGACATACTCTGAATACAATTGCGGAAAAGGTGCTTTTACAAATTATACAGAGAAGGAGCCAATGTAAAAACAAGACAAAACACAAAACTCAACACCCCCTGGTTATGTTGGGAATCTTTTCGGTTCGTAAAAGAATGTGATGATTTTTCATCATGGGTGCAGAAGATGGTGAAGATTTCTCACAGCAGAATGATCACAGTGATCAGAGAAGATGCAGATTATTCTTCCTTGTCGCATTGAGCAGTTCTGGTAAATTCAGGGGCTAATAGTGTGGAATTAACGGTCTCTACCAGAGAAGGCCAACTAGCATTTCAGTATTAAGGAAAATCCAGCACAGTCAGCAACCATCTCTTTACACAGAAAGCCTTAAACTAGCTGAGAGATTCCACAAGCAGCATTACATTGTACTCAATACCTACATTTGCTGTTTGGGGTATATGAGTATATTGGCCGTTTCAGATAGGCTGCCAAGAGAGATGAACAAAACTCCCCCTTCAGCTATCAGAAAGCAGTTGGTTCTCATTTGGGTAAGAATCCTTATTTCCATATCTATCTTTTCTCTTACATCACATGAATTGCACTGTTAAAGTTGTGAAAGACCAGTTCACTGAGATACGTAACATAGATACACAAATCCCCATTTCAATCTATGGTCACTTTATGTTGACCTGGTCTCTTCATCTGTATGAGCCAAGCAGACAGCGTAACGGAAACTCCAAGAGAAATAAACATATTACTTAAGTCAGGATGATGATTCAGTAACTGACATGCTTCTGTGATTTGGAACTCAACCAACATCTTGGCATGACGCTGTCTTTGCACTGCAAACAGCTTTCTCCTTTCTCAGATGGTGCCTATCATATTTAGGAACACAAACAAAGAATAAGAACTATCACCTGCAAAACGCGCAGACTTGACAGAAAGTTGGCTGTTTGTTTCTTAGTATGTTTAACTCACCAGGAGAAAATGTTATTTGAAGATCTGATTTGAAGAAAAGAAATAGAAAACTCTCAACTCTGTTACACAGTCTCAAGGAAACCAGGAAGACAAGATTTGATGGCATAATAAACACAGCTGGAGGCAGACCAAAGCAACGCAGGCACTTTCAACAAGATGACAACTTTTAATATCCCATTTTTTTACCCGCTCAGCAGGATGGATGGTAATGAGATACCCGATTCCCAATGGCTTTCAAAGATTCAGGCACCTGCCCCATATTCATTCAAGACTTCTTTCTCCATGTTATCTCCAGCTATGACAAACTGCAGACAAGCCAGCAGATTCCATTTGCCACTTTGTTGCCAGCTTGCAGTTTACCCTCATGTAAATTGCTCAACCTTTATACTCCTCTTTTTAGCCACCTTATTTGTGAAGTAAAAACCCCACCCTATTATTAATATGTTTAATACTTCTTAAAATGCTTCAAGCTTGCACTAGAGGAACATTACAAATACATACCTAAATTACCAACATGCAAAAAATAACAGGAAAAAGGCTTGGTGGTGGATTAGCTACATATGATCACTGCCAAATCAAAATCTACTCTGGTTTTGCTGAGGTCATTTACTGCTGTACAATTCTCCTGAAGTAAATACTTCTGAAAGTGGGGAATGCTCCGAGATTAAGCAATACATTACATTTTTTGATCAAATGCCAGAAGCCATAGGTGAATAGGAAACAGACATCAGTAATTACAGTTCGTACTTCAGCTATTTCAAAACCCCTTGCTTCAATGAGCAAGTATTAACTGGACAGACACTCCTTCACAAATTAGAGGTTGCAAAGGCTTATTACACACCATATTTATCTTTGAAACCTGTCCAACAGAATTAAACTAAAAAAAATAATGATACAGATTATGGTTGCAGGCAAAAAACTATTAAAACTCTAACAACTATATATATGTTTTTATCCATCAAACTGTCCCTGCAGCCACTCTTTGGTTTAGGAGCTCAGGAATGTGGTCTTAAGAAATACAAGTAATTGTATTACTATGCTGTTGTCAAACTTCAAACTGGCTGTATTTTACCTAGGAGTTGATAAACTATTTCTTGACTAGGCAGGCCTAAGAACACAATAGAATTGCAAGAACAGGAGTCTAAACTATCCCCAAATGGAAGTATAAATGGAAGAGTACAACACCCATGTGAGTGAAAAGTATACAGTTAGGAGAGCCCACACTGCTTAGCGCAACTGTGAACAGAGCCAGTAACTTGACATCAACTAAGTCCACTGTAAAACCAAAAGCAATCCAACCACCTCACTGCATTTTTGCACCCAAGCAAACTAAGTTTAACTTAGTTAAGAGGCCTCACTGGCAAAGTTCAGCACATAAACAAGCTACCTCTGGGCAGACCAGGCAGCTCAAGATACAGCACCAGTTCAAGGTATGACAGCTGTGAGAAGACATTCCCCTTTTCGAAGTTAGTTCTTCTGTTTACTCCAAGAACCCCAATTGGGAAGCTGCATGATTTCTCCTCAAATGACCCAAGACTACTCAGGATATCCAAAAGAGTACCATGACTACAGTTGGAAAAGGTATGAAATTGTGGAGGAAAAACTGGGCAAAACCAGTGCAGGCATTTATGTTTTCCAAGGCTTCTGAGGGTAGGAAGCTGCTTAGGTAAGGATACCTTTCAACTGTTGCCCAACTCAAGATATCATCAAGTGAACTCTTAATAATTATTTGGCTTCACAACAGATTTGTACTGAAATTAATAATTCAAGTATATTCCTCTAGATACATAACTTCAGACAGACGAGGAAGACAGTGCAAACCTTTCATTTGCTGAAAGAATTATTATTGGATCTCAAATTTAGTTCAGTGTAAGAGATTATATATTTAAGCTGATTAAAAAGGTTTTAGTTAACTGCAATGAGCATTTGGATTGTTTTAACACTCTTAAACAGGAAAAGTTAAGCCTCAGAGCAGAGTTTTACTTGCTTTGCAAAATTCATCGCACAGAGCAAAACTACAAGAGTCAGGAATGCAAGACATGTTAGAATCAGATCTGTAGCTTGCGATGTCTGTTAAAATGTTCATGTCTTTATTACACTTTTGTATTTTCCCTGCTGATCAGGTTTTTTTAAATATAGTATAATTCTAGGAATTTACTAATATCCTAAGTGAACACTTAAAGTCGATCAAAATATTTGTGTATGATCATTTTTTTAATTCACCAATCAAATAACTCAATGCAATCCCAGACTGGTTTGGGTTGGAAGGGACCTTAAAGCTCATCCAGCTCCAACCCCTGCCACAGGCAGGGACACCTTCCACTAGAGCAGCTTGCTCCAAGCCCCTGTGTCCAACCTGGCCTTGAACACTGCCAGGGATGGGGCAGCCACAGCTTCTCTGGGCACCCTGTGCCAGCGCCTCAGCACCCTCATAGGGAAGAACTTCTTGCCTAAGAGCTCATCTCAATCTCCCCTCTGGCAGGGTAAATCCATTCCCTGCTTGTCCTATCACTACTCTTACAAAATGCCCCTCTCCAGCTTTCTTGTAGGCCCCCTACATTCTGCATGATTTCTGAACAGTTGCATTATTAATGGCCTAACATAAAACTAATTGGTTAAGTGAAAAATATGACAGGTGGCTGTGTAGGCACTGCTGTGACAAATACAACACAGCAAGTTCTCATGCAGTAGGTGTTTTCTGAAGGTTTGGATTTCTTTTAAAGCACATTTTCATACCAAACAGCACTGATCCTTACAATAAGATCTTCAACTTGATTAACAGTTACTATTAAGAGCAACTAATATGAAAAACATATAGCATCTCTTTAATATACATTACTTTTAAACGCTTAATGAAATACTGCTGTTTTCAGCACAAAATTCTCAGCACCATTCTGCTTTTCAGTATGTAACAAGCAGAAAGGTCAACTGTAACACTCACCTGACAAGATGCTTAAAATAACAGGAATTATGGACAGAGTGCTTGGAAGTTTTGGACAGGAATATTTGGAACTGAGAAAAATCCTGATGAAGTTCATGGTATAATCTGTTTCTGCAAGCAAACATGCAATTTGCCTTTAAAATCATTTTAATATGAGATACCACTGCTTCCTTCCACACCAAAGTTACTAAGGCTGATGTAGTTTGTAAACCATAGTGCGAGATTTATGACGTTATATTGCAGAAACCTGTTTAGCCCCTGATTTACAATCCTGGCAATTGTATTCAACTCTGTCACTGTAACCGATTACAGCTAACTGCAGATTACCATATTGCAAACTCTCATCTTTGTGAAAGAAATACGACATTGTGCTAAAAGAGAAAAAGAATCAAACATCCTGAGGGGTAATGAACAAAAATGCACTATTCCGTGTAGGACTGCAAACCCAAACTCTTCGAACTGGTGCCATAAAACTTCAAATTGCTATTTGTTGGCACGTTGTTTTAGCCTCAAGTACTTCTGTAGTAAATCACCATTACACTAATACCATACCTTTGGCCTGAAACATATTAATCTTGGTTAACAATAACTGACATTTACATTACCAATTCCATTCAGGCATTGTGGTGACTAAACACACACGCAAGAGCTACAGGAAGAAAAGTTGTTAGTTCTGAATGTGTTCTTACTATTCACTCAGAACAATTTGAAAGAAACATCATCAATTCTTGTAATGAGATTATAACATAAACATTCAAATCCTCATTGATCTGTAAAATTTGGACTTGGAGTAAAACTTGCCTTTGTTTCTTGAGTGCAGTTAGTGCACAACATACTTCAGCTATCTTTCAAGGTAAGTATTTCTGTAATTTATCTGCTAAAAGGAACTGACTTTGAAAACCTGATTTCTTGGGAAGGAAAGGAAAATGAGAATTTGAAATATACTGAAGAACATGGCACCAACACATGACAAATAGTAGCATCTTTCCAGTAGAGAGGATGGACTTTTGCAGCCATTTTTTTTCCTGATATTTACTATGCCTATAAATGCATAAATAATAATGGTTTTACACAGGTAGGATGGTTTTGCTATTCTGTATTTAGTGGTACAAACACACACTTTCAAGCAATCAGAAACGTAGCACTTACTGCATTAAGTTTGTATAATCTCAGCAGGAAAGCTTATCCCACTCCCTACACGCAAGCATTACAACTGCAGTGCAGCACAGACCACATAAAATACTTGGACCAAGTATTTTACTCCATCTTCAGAATTCTCTATGAGACTCCAAATGCATTCTGCAATGCCTAATCTTAAATTTTCATATATTGGAGAAAAATACTTTATTTAACATAGCACTGGTGTCTAGACAATATTTTACAGCATTATAAGACAAAATAAAAAAGATGCTGCAGTCTAACAGTATTAAGAGAAACACAAGGAATTTGATATGTTTGGGTTCGTTTTGGGGTTCCTTTTGTGTTTAGATTTAAGAAGTTGCCCACAAAGATTCAAGTAAAAACAGGTATTTAAGTCCTGAGGAAAACAGGATGGATTACATGTATCCCATGTTGCTCTTTGTCTCCCATCTTTTCTTGGCTTCAAATCTGAAATAGAGCACAAAACCCACATTAGGAATCTTGAGTATGCACATTTCTGGTACTCATCCCAACAACAACAAAAACAAAACCTTATTTTTAATGCAATTACAAAGACATGAAGGCAAATGTAGCCATATAACCAACACATTAAGAATAGAGGCTTTCCCAGAATTAAGTCTGATATACTGCTAAAAAAGACACAAACCCAACATAAAAACCCCCAGCAAGGTTAAACTAAACAAATAAGATTAGCACAAGCCTATTTCAACTAAGAAAACATTTAACTGAGATTGTATTGTATATACGTAGTGCCAATGAAACCACACATGTTTAATTCCATACTCAAATAACTTACCCCCAAGCAAGCTTCTTTTTCTTTTGAGCTTCTTGGGCAGCCTCTGCTTCTTGCTTGGCTTTTACAAAGTTGCGGCAAGCAACAGCTTTGGCAATTTTCACACCAAGCTAAGATATAAAAAGGGAACAAAGGAAAATTGAATGGATCCAAATAGCTCATGTGAAATTTAAGCCTCACAAATTACTTGGTCTGATACTGTTCCTCAAAAGTCAATAGACATTTTAATATCTTTCAAACATTAGGCTGATGCTGTGCTACTAGATCAGATGAGCAAGAATGTCTCTGGAAAGAAATACATAGGAACGGGATCCTGGAGCAAGCAATCCTTTTCACCAAATCCTTCATTTTCAAGAATAAAAGCAAAGGGCAATAGCCGACTAGATCCTTTTGTTTGTTTTTAAATAAATATATACACATACACACACAATCTCCATTATTAAGACCAGTCTGTAACCTCAGCTGTGCCAACAAAAGCATCAGGTCATACCAATATGAAAAACACCCAAACAGACAGTTTTATACAGAAGAACTGCTACTACCATACATTTTCCAGTAGTGCCAGTGGTTATGTTTTAATTGGTCTGTCCAGGAAGTAAATGCAGCAGCGTCCTTAGAGTACATCTAGCACTTTGTCTTCATGTTACCAGCTTTCAGATTATTAGTGTGATAATATGCATGCCTTTCAATTAAGGTCCTAACAGGCTGTAGGTGAATACTACTTTGCTTTCATAAACTTACTCACACTGTGAGATTTAAGTTCACTTAAGTGAATGTCATGGAGGAAAAAACAGAACAAAGCAAAGAGATCAAGAAGATACTGTAAACTCTGACCTTATTTTCTTTAAGCAGCATTCATAACTTGTTCATTGTTGTTATGTTTTGTGATTGCTGCCATGACTTGACATTATCTGCCACTAAATTATGACTTATAGAAGAATTTGACTCAAAAGTTACCACTTTTCTCCAAGACAAACAAGCAATTCATTTAGCCAGAGGTGCTCCAAACTGATGTGGACAAACAGGTTTTTCTTTCTACCCACTCCAAAGCCTCCTGGAGTTAGCCAATAGCTTCTGACTGGATCTTTTCCATTTCTCCAAAACATCACAGAAGCATCAAACAAGAAAGGCATGGGAGAGTGAAAGGACACTCCTTAACACTTTGATGAGAGTTCCATTATTAATGGTAATATACTTCAAATAGTCTGTAGGCATCTATGCAAGCAATTCTCATTTACTGAGACATTTTATTCAGGCAAGATGAATACATCTTTGCTTGTAGATGCACTGGCACATCTGTTACAAGTCTCCCATCAAACATCTACCATGTAGGGAGGAGATTATTTTGTAAACAAAGCAAAACAAACGAGCACCACTATAAGCTATTCTACCTTATGGTCCAAAGTAGCCTTTCTGCAGAAGGCTTTGAGAGCCTACATGTGCATAGGCACTAAGCACAACATCAGTCTGTGCGTTGTTTGAGGCTCCAAACACTGGCAACACAGGCATAACATTTTAAAAGCAAAATGTGCAAAATAAGTAAAGCTAAAGGTTTTCATCTACATAAGATCATAAATATGTACCTATGGAATCACCTCGATGCACAAAATAATTCATGTAACCCGACATTTCAAAACTTCTATATTGTTAGCTACATCATTTGTCCTCTGAGCATTAACATTTTATATAATCAGTAATTCAATGCCAACATCTGAAGTGCAAATCTCACGTCAGAGACCAGGAGAACATTCTCCTATTTGCATTGTCACTCAATATTTAAGGACAGCTATTAACTTTAATGCTTGTGGTATAAAAATGCTGAAGAAAACTCACGTAAAAAAAGAAATTCAAGAAATGCTGACTTTTTAATTGAAACAGGACAATTATTGCCTTAAAACCTTGCCAGAGCAATCTAATGGCTGAAGTCAGTTGATCAGCACAGCCATGACTATTTCTGAACGGTATCTTACCTCCTCACACACTTGAATATTAACTCTTACTATATAATGAATAACAGCAGCTCCTTAAAATATATTCTAATGGCATATTGAACCTTAGAAACATACAAATATACATGTGAGGTGTACACAAGTGCTGCAGAAAAATATTTTGATCTGTATTTCTTGGAAGACAGAATGAATTCTTCCATCTTTGAAAAGGGGAAGAAAAAAGGGATAATAAGATCCTCTGTAGTGTATATGGAAGTAAAAAGAGAAGTATTTTGCGTCATTAACATTGTAATTTCTAGGCTACACAGAGTCAAATATGTTGCATATAAACACACACAACCATTCTAGTCAGATTAAACGTCTTCTGCTCCCACCCACACCCAGACATACATCCTCCTTCCCTCCCTTTCCACAAAGAAAACCATAAAAGCTTGGTCAATGGGTTTTACATTAAAAAAAACCCCAAACATTTCAGGTCATCAGATAACTCAATAAAATACAATCTTAAAAGAAGTAAGAAAGCATGAATAAAAATATATACAACAATTTCTTGTGTAGTCAAAGTATCAGCATTTTCCATATAGAACATCCAATATTTTGCTGCATTTTAATTAAGGTGTCTAAACATTATCACAAAGAACTGCAAATTGGTCAGAGCACGCAGTAAGGAAAATTAAGCTCTAAAGGCTTTTTATCACCATATTTCAGGAACCAAGGGTGTAAAATGTTCTAATTTGGGATATATTAAAAGCCATAAAAGGTCTTTCAAAAAGATTAATGGTACTTTGCTTGGATTTAAGATAAGGGCTTTAGCTGGTTGGAAAAGCAGGGCCCTGGCTAGACCCTTGAGGCATTCATCTTTACAGCCACTTGGAAGATTTGTAAAAGCGTCTGCATAACCTCAAGCAAACGCACTGCGACATTTTTTTTCCTCTAAATTCCTTTCAATTTTACAGGTTTAAAGTGTGTAAATCATATTGGGTAGTAAAGCTGATAGAATGGTTCATCCCTGTAACACAATATATATGTACATCTATGTATTTTTAAGGCAAACTTAACAAAAACAACTTAGTTCCTACAGGGCAAAGACCCTTCCATTCTGAAGTTGACCAATAATCATGTCAAATATCTTCCTCTAGATGTTTAATGTAGCATAAAGGAGAATTTTGCCCTTGTCTGAAATTGTTACCTTGCAACGCATTTCTGAAGCTTGGCTTCTTTTTGAAGAGTTTCAAGACATTTATTTAAAAATACCAATTATCATACTTTAACTTTTTATGGAATAACAGGTCTCGATGAAAAATATTTATGCCATTCTCTTTTGTTCTTTAATTAAATGAAAACAGATGTTTTCTGAAGTAAAGCGGAACCATTACTGGAGTACTTAAAGTGTTAAGGTCTTTAATTTTTATATCAGTTTGGTCTACAATTCCTGATTGTCTTTACTCAAGCTCAACATTAATGTCAAGCAAGTTACCTAGGAGACGAAAGAGATCAAAGAGACAAAAAACCCTCAAATGTCTGATTAATCAAGCCTGCAAACAGCTTATTTCTTTTAGCCTGCATGCAAGTATGAAAATGAGATTCTGGGAGCCGTACATTGTGCAGATTTGTTCATTCTTATCAGAACAAAGCCAGCGGCAGCTTATTTCATGGATCATTGGCACTGTCATCAGTGCTACACAGAACGGGTGACAGCTCCTCATTTTGAGGCTTGAACAAAATTAGCAAAAAGTCGGCACAAATTAGCCTCTCATCTTTTTAGTAATATGACATTATTCATTTACTTTTTATCCAATTTTTAATTTTTTCCTTGTCAGCTATCCCTTTCTAGTGTTTCTTGCACAGCATCATAAAACACTCTTAACCAAAGAAATGGCTGAAGTTGAAATAGGATGTAAAGTTCAGGCAAAAGAGTAAACATTTTTATTAAGTTGCAACAGAACCTACTGGAACTTCCAGAAAACTTCCTTGAAAATCAAGACATTTCACACTAAATAGCATCAATGAAGGAATTCTCATTAAGATAAACTGTGCAAGTAAATGTTGAATGATACAAGCAATGAGACAACAGATCAAGAACTGCTCCAGAAATATTTAGGTAAAAGGCACAAAATGCTAAACCTACAGAAGCTCCAACAAAACATCTATATTGAAACAGCTCCTGAAATATCCTATGATCATACCAGAGAAGCCAAACAGCCTTTTAATACAGTGTTACAGTTTCTCATCAAATATGAATCTGGCTATTTCAGGCTTGCCTCTAGCAATGATTTTCTCCTTTTATGTTATGGAATGTTATCCATTGCTGACGTATATAAAATATATAAAGCAAACAAGAATACCAAGTGGATTTTGCAGTGAAAATTGTCCCCTTTCAATGGCATGCTCAACTTCCACTGTAAAATACTCTGTAATATCTCTGTTGTATTTTTATGCTGTGTATTACACCACCAAATGATATTTGGATGACACAGTAATGGAGCAAGGACAGAGCACTGTTCTAACAGTAAACCCTGTGCTAGATTTAAACATTTAAATGCAAGTAACTTCTTCCATTCATGAGAAAACCCAGCATTAAAAAAAAATTAACTATAAGCTGTTAGATGCTTTACACAGCCCCCTTATAACAAAGGCAGTTTTAAAAAAAGAACTGTAGTACTGTTTTCAGCAATTTCTTTATCTCTGTTCTTCTAAGTAAGAAAGCTTATTAACAAGCTTTGAACTTAAAATCACATTTACAATAATGTGCCATCAACAGTTTTATAAGCTAATTAGAAAAAAAGATTAATTAATGACTGGCTGCTAATAAAATGGCAATCATGAAGAAAGAAACCAAGGGTGCTAAGCTTCAACTACCACCAATTAAGAGCTAATTACAAACAAATTATATATGTGTTTTGCTGTGGGCTTTAATTTACTAAAATGGTTTTAATTAAAAGAGAAAACATGCTGATTAATTGAACTGCAGAAAAAATCTACAGTATAAACTGTGCTTTGTCTGTCTCTTTAATTAGACTTGTAACATCTGAAATCTTTTTTTAAGGTTTGTTAAGGCAAAGATATACATAATTAAGGGAGCAGAAGAATGGAATTCTAGGTGATAACCCTGCCGTGTTCCAAAGGTTAAAAGAAAACCACCTCAATGAAGAGAGAGATTT